CCCCTTAGAAGCTCCATTTCGGCTGGGAACGTGTCAAACGAGGCCTCCCTTTCAGGAGTCCAGAAGCCTTGCCTGGTAGGTTGCTGGCCAAAATGGTGCTTCCAAGAGGCGAATTCAGCCCTCCGATGCTCCATTCGGCCCTCCGCATGTGTCCTCCCCTAGCCTGTTGCAGGCCGAAATGCAGTCTCCAGGGTCCAGAGGAGAAGGCCTGCAGAGTACCAAAATGGAGCCTCTGGGGGAGGCCTGTGGAGGGGTAGAGTGTTAGAGGGCCGGATCGGCACCTGGAAGCTCCATTTTGGCCTCAAAATCTACTATACATTCATATATGAAAAATAAACATTGCTTATTGGTTATAATCAAACCATTAAAATCATACCATAATATTAACTTTGAGTGAAAGCTAAGGGTTTTTTTGTATGTTAATAAGATAAATTTTGGCAGCTGTCATTTTAAATGTTTTACTTTTTAAATATATTTCTGGTTATTCTTTTGATAAATATATAATGTATAATTCATTATTTTTAAATTCTGATCATTATATCTGGTGAAGTTTATATGTGATATAACCATATAATATTTAACATATATCTGATTAAGGTTATATGTGATATTGTTATTTTACAGAGGCGAATGCCACTAACTTTCCGTGATCCAGCAGCTGCTCCTTTAAGGAAACTGTCTGTGGATTTGATCAAAACATACAAACATATTAATGAGGTAAAATTTGCATAATTCATTAATTTTTCTTTTGATGTAAGTTTTTTTTATGACTAGAATGTGTTTATTAATACTAAAATGCGAGCTAAATCTATAATCTTACTCTGTTGTAATGCATTTCTTTAGACATTAAATGTTTAATACAAAGAAAAAGTTTTCTAAATTTATACTAATAATACTGTTGAGTGGAGACATACTCTTCAAAAGAATACTTACCACTTGAGTAGCATTTCAGAAGAGGAAGAACCTGCTTAGAACAGTATTTAAAATCCTTCCTTTCTTTTTCTGTATTTACATATAACTATTCTCATGTATGAATGGCTACTGTCTACTCTTTTTTCTTTTCTTCTTCTAATTGTGCATTATTTCTCCTTTGAAATTATTCTTACTGTTGTAAATCTATTACTTAAATCTTACTTACTTAAACTCTTATTGTTATAGACAAAAGTACTTGTCTGCTAAAAGAAAAGAAAAGCTATTGTCTTATTTTATGAATGAAAAGTGGGAGATGCAATGAAATACTATAAGGTTGATTTATCCACTTCACTTGAATGACAGATAGTTTTTAGACTTGTTTCTGAGAGGGTAGAAAAATGTCCATCACCACAGCAAAGCTTGCTTTCATAGAATATAGCCAATATTCTTATTTGCAAGGCTTTACAACCAGAGGTGGTATTCAGCAGGTTCTGACCAGTTCTGCAGAACCAGTAGTGGAAATTTTGAATAGTTTGGAGAACCGGCAAATACTACCTCTGACGGGAGATTTTACAGTATCCTTCCCACCCACAGAACCGGTAGTAAAAAAAATGCGAATCCCATCACTGTTTACAACTAGATGTTAGGAATTATCATTCTTTTTTCTAAGCCAGGTAGAAAGCAGAAAAATGTTTCTTATTGTGTCCAGATTCCAGACATCAGAAAGCCACTAAGTTTATTGCCTAAAACTGTTATAGTCTTTCCCTTCTCTCTGCCATTAAAGAATGTCCTTTGTCTAAACACCAATTGGTCAATAATGTAAAAATCAGGACTGCTGTTTATGCAGTGGTTAAAAGTTTAGTATTACAATATCAATAACAGACTCTAAAAATATTCTTTTATCCACTCAAACCCTAAAAATAGATAAGGAAAACTCAGTTAAACAAATGAGTCAGAGACATTGTACTTGTTCATTGTATTCTTGAGGAAATTTTCCAAAGCTACTTTTTACCACAGAGCAGAGTAATGTTCTTCGTAATAAAATAGAAGACTAATGTCATATCGGTTGAACTATGAATGCATGTATTTCTTTGCACCTTTTAAAATTATGCCTGCTTTTGTAAATTTTGTGCTTCAAGCTTCTTTGATTTACTGAACTTGTATCAAGCTGTTGTTTCAGCAGCTCCCGATTTGCTTTCAGAGCAGTTGGTCACAGGCTACTGAAACAATATCCATATTCTTGTGTAGGTCCTTTTGAATTGAATAAATTATGCTGTAAAATGAAAATGTAACCATCTAATGATTAATATCACCATTATCACCATTTTTAAAATTACCATTTTGTCACTTTATTGCCAAGTATTTCAGTCTCTTTTGCAATAGTATATGATACAAACTGGCTATGCAATAATTGCATTTCCTAATCTCAGGTTTACTATGCAAAAAAGAAGCGACGACATCAACAGGGACAAGGAGATGATTCTAGTCACAAAAAAGAGCGGAAGGTTTATAATGATGGATATGATGATGACAACTATGACTACATTGTAAAAAATGGGGAAAAATGGATGGATCGTTATGAAATTGATTCTTTAATAGGCAAAGGCTCATTTGGACAGGTAAATGATTGAATAAATGTGAATAAAAGCAGTATCCTATCCAAGTCATATATGGGTGGTTTTTTTATATACTCTTCACAATCCATTTTGCAATTTTATTTAGACTATGATGGTGGTGGGAAAGAAAACCCATTTTTTCCATTATACTACCTTGATTTTATGTGTTAATGTGCACAGGTCTGTGTAAAGCTATAGATATTTAATGGATTTGATAGCCAGACATTACATTCTACTTCCTAACAGCCTACCAATATATAATGTAATAATTTAGTAGGCATTTATCATCACAGATAGTATTCACTATAAATTCTGTGCAGATCTGCACAAAGTCCTATTTCAATTCTATTTACTTCTGCTTAGGCAAGTGGTTTAGATTTCGTGTGATTTAACAAATATAGAATTTTAAAAAAACTTTTAATCACTAATTAATTCCAAAAAATTTTCAAGTTCTTTTGCTCTTTTCAAAAATCTGGACTTTTTTATCTTGTACACAAATAAATAAAAATATATATGTGTATATGTGTGTGTGTGTGTGTGTGTGTGTGTGTGTGTGTGTAGATTTGTTTTCTTAAGTTTTCGCGTGTACTTACATGTATGGCATTTGGCTTTGTTCGGGTATTTTCCCACGTCATAGTAGTTGTGCTTTTAAAGTTGCAGCGACGTTTCAGCAGAATCTCATCTGCCAT